TTTTTATGTTCTTGTTGGCTGCCTCAACTGCCTCATTCATTTTCGGATAGTATGGTGCCTAGTTATAATGCTTGATCTTATATTGAGCATATATTTCTTGCATCATCTTACTATTCAGATTCTTGACATTATCTGAAATAATTCTTTCTGAAAGTTTATATCTATGAATGATCTCTCTTTTTATGAACTTGTAAATCACAGATCGTGTTGCGTTTGCATATGATGTTGTTTCCACCCATTTTATGAAGTAATCTATCATTACAAAAATAAATCTATGCCCATTAGAAGCTTTTTGGGTGATAGGACCAATGACATCCACGTCCCACATTGAAAATGGCCATGGTGATGCCATAACATGTAAAACAGATGGCAGAGTATGGATCTTATCAGCATATATCTGGCATTTATGGCATTTACAAGCATAGTCAATGCAATCACTCTCCATTGTCAACCAGTAATATCCTACTCTCATTATCTGTCTCGTCATCATATGTCTACTGGTATGTGCCCTACATATTTCATCATGCACTTTTTCAATGATTTTTTTTTTGCTTCGGCCTTATTTACGCATCTTAGTAGTACCTGATCATGGCTTCTTTTGTACAGAACACCTCCATCCAAGAAAAAACTCATAGCCAATCTTTGGATGACCCTTTTATCATTTTTTATTGCTTGAACTAGGTATTGTTGATCCTTAATATACTGTAAGATATCATAATACCAAGGCTTCTCATCTTCCTCCTCTTTTACATTGGAATAATGAGCTGGCATATCCTTAACATCTAGCTTGATGGGCTGAATGTAAGTATTGTCATTAATTCGAATTATTACAGCCAGAGTAGCCAATGCATTAGCAATCAAATTCTTTTCTCGAGGTAAATGGTCAAACTGGATATCTTCAAATTGTTTTATCAACTCTAAAATATACTTATGATATGGAACGAGTTTTGAATCTCTCATCTCTCATACTCCTTTCAACTGATATATAACTAGAGCTAAGTCTCCAAACACTTTTAATGCTTTCACTCTTTTATCTATAGCAGTTTGTAAGCCTATGACACATGCCTCATATTCAGCAATGTTATTTGTGCAATTAAAATTTAACCTTGCTATTAAGGATAGTATTATTCTTCTGGAGAGATCATAATTGCCCTAATTTCATGTCCCAAGGCATTGACAGCTCCATTAAAATACATTCTCCAACATTTTTCTTCATGCTCCCTTTTTTCTAGTTGGGAAATAACCATTAGATCTTCATTAGAGAATTCTAACCTCATTGGTTCATATTCTTCAGTAGCACGAACTACAAGGAACTCCGCTATAGTGCCCTATTTTATTGCCTTTTAGCTTACATATATAATATCATATGTCGATAGCATTACTTGCCATCTAGCAATTCTTTCAAACAAAGAAGGCTTATCGAAGATGTATTTAATTAGATCTAGTTTTGCTATAAGCCATGTGGTATGATAAAGTATATACTGTCTGAGTTTTTTGGTAGTCCACGCTAATGCATAACACATTTTCTCCAATGAGGAATACTTGGATTCATATTCTGTGAACTTTTTACTCAGATAGTAAATAGCTCTCTTCTTTCAGCTAGACTCATCTTATTGCCCTAGCACACATCCCATTGAATTTTCACATACTGTTAAGTATAGAATTAAAGGTTTTCCTAGAACAGGTGGCACCAACACTAGAGGGTTTGACAAGTATTGCTTAATTTTATCAAAAGTCACTTGACATTTCTCATTCCATTTTTCAGGATTATTTTTACGAAGAAACTTAAATATGGGATCGCATTTATAGGTAAGCTAAAAGATAAACTGAAAAATGTAATTCAATCTTCCTAGAAAACCTCAAACTTTCTTTGGTGTACTAGGAGGTGACAAATTTTGAATGGCCCGTATCTTATTTGGATCGACTTCAATTCCTCTTTCACTGACCACAAAACCTAGTAACTTCCCTGACTTTATCCTAAAGGTGTACTTGGGTGGGTTTAACTTGAGCTGAAACCTTCTCAATCTCTCAAATAACTTTTTAAGGCTGGTGACATGATCTTCATTCTCATAAGATTTTGTAATCATATCGTCTACATACACTTCAATCTTTTTGCATATCATATCATGAAAAAGTGTTATCATGACCCTTTGATATGTTGCTTCAGCATTTTTTAACCTAAAAGGCATGACCTTGTAATAAAAAGTTCCCCACATGGTCACGAAAGTGATCTTTTCCATATCATCTGTAGCCATTTTTATCTAATTATACCCTGAAAAATCATCCATAAAGGAGAAAATTGAATGCCTAGCTGTGTTATCTACCAATGTGTCAATATGAGGCAAAGAAAAGTTATCCTTTGGACTAGTTTTATTCAAATCACGATAGTCTACACATATTCGTACTTTTTTATCTTTCTTAAAAACTGGTACTATATTGGCTACCCACTCTGGATACTTAGTCACTTATAGAAAATCTGTATCAAACTATTTTTTCACCTCTTCTTTGATCTTTAGTAGCATTTCAAGCTTCATTCACCTCAGTTTCTGTTAAATCGACTTACATTCTGGCTTTATAGGTAATCTGTGTTCTATTATCTTCGTGCTCAGCCCTGGCATATCCTGGTAAGACTAAGTAAATACATCTATGAATTTTTGAAGTAGATCTACCAAACGTTATCTATCTCCTGATGAAAATGAAGTGCCAATTCTGACATCTTTCTTATTCTTTTCATCTCCCAGATTTATCAAGTCAACTATCTCCTGATGAGGCTCAATTGGCTTATTTTCTTTTTTAATCAATCTTATTAGGTCTGGAGGCATAACATAATCCTCAGAATTCTCTTCATTGTCAAGTTCATCAGTGTTAATTGAATTCTCAAAACTAACCTCTTGATTGTTATCATAATTATCTTCATGTTCATTTAAAAACCTGAAATTGAATGAAATGGGATATGTTGGCAAGATGTGTTTGGAAAGATGGCAATAATGAAGACACAAGAAAAAATGAATGAAAATGCATCTTTCTTAATTTTTATTAAAATAATAAAAGATAAATGACCCAAACAAGAAAGATCACCCCAATACCTTGGGCAATAGTTATTGGGATGTTACAATTACATTGTATTAGTTTCAAAAGTCACAGGCACTTCAATGGCACTCTAATTGTTTAGCTCATAATCTGGCAAACAAAGACGGACCCACCCCTCTTGATTAAGCCCCACTTCATCTTCAATAGCATTAATGGTTAACTAGGCAAAAGCTTTTTCCATATTTTTTCTTGTATCTGGGTACATAAATCTTTTAGGTCTAAAAGTCTTGTACAGGTGTGGGATAACCATTAGTCTTGCTATTTTTCCTGTTGGCACTGTTGGCCTTCTCTTGATCTCTCATTCTGCTACCTTATAGCCTAGGCCTAATCTTTCACTATTATCTATCACTGTCGGGGGTTCTTTTATTCCCTGCAAGTTCTTACCTAGCCTTAATCTTGGATACCAGCCCTTATTAATAACTTGGCTCATCACTATCCTTAAAAAGGGCTGACTTTTAAGTGTTTCACCTACAAAATTAACTAGCTCAAAAGATTGATAGGAGCATTCTATAGCTTTTTCGGTAACCTCTACATACGAAGCATTCAACGGTTGGGTCTCTAACATGTCTTTCTCCTCAACTACCACTACTAATTGACCTCCTACATTAAACTTGATCTTTTCATGCAAGGTAAAAGGTACAGCTCCTACCATGTGGATTCATGACCTTCCTAATAGACAGTTGTAAGATGAAGAGATATCTATCGCTTAGAACTTCACATTAAAAGTGCATGGCCTAATTTGCAAAGGCATCTCGATATCCCCTAAGACTTCTCTTCTAGTCCCATCAAAAGCTTTCACAATCATTTGACTGTCTTTCATATGAGAGTAGTTAATGGGTAACCTTGCCAAAATTGACATAAGCATGACATTGATAGTGGAGCCATTATCAATAAGTACTTTAGCTATGATATAGCTCTTGCACTTGACCGTGATATGCAAAGCCTTGGCGTTTTTCCTTCCCTTCAAAGAAATTTTATCATCGCTGAATGAAATGTAATTCGGCATAACTAGATTTTCAGCCAAGTGGTTCACATATTCAACAGATACATTATGTGCCACATATACTTGGTTCAATACTTTTAGCAGGGCATTTTGGTGTGGCTTCGAATTTAATAACAGTGATAGTAATGAGATTCATGCTAGCATTTTGTTCAACTGTTCAACAACTGAATACTCATTATGTTTTACCAGCTTCAGGAATTCACAAGCCTCTTTTTCTGACACCGATTTCGGACGATCTTCCTTAGATTCTACTTCAAGGTTATTTCATCCTTCTACTTCTTTAGCTTTCTCTTTTCTAGCCTTCTCCAATATTTCTGGAGTGTAGCACCTTTCACTTCGGGTAATGCCTCTTACACTAGTCATATTGAAAGTGTTAGCTTTAGAGATATCCCCTTTTTACCCTTGAACTACTGTATCACAGCCATATTTCTAGGGAACAACTTTATCATCCTTATATAGGAAGAGAGTCAGAACTTTAAAAGTTATCGGCCTGGGAATGAGTTTATCTATGATTGACTTTGGCTTGTTCCCATAATGAATTGTCACCGGCTTTAGAAATAGTTTTGTAGGCTTATCAATCATGGACACTTCAACACCTTTTAAGTCTTTTTTTTTCATAGACCTCCATCTGGTATGAATCCAAGAGCTTTTGCACCTCTCAGTGAAATTGCTCACAAGTGTTGATAGAGTGGCCCATTGCCCCACTATGATATTTATAACTAGTGTCGACTATATATACTCTATGATAACTGTGTGGACTCACTAGTTGTGTCATGTCAGCTTTCCATAAAATATCAAATAGCTAACTAAGAGGTGTCTTAATATCTGCCACTTCTTTCTTCAAATGGCACTTCTGTTCTTCACTTAAAGCATTGACATTATGATTAGACAAGAAATTGCCACTAACATTTAGTGCAGTCACCCTTTCTGTATCAAAGCTAATCATTCTATCCTTGATCAACTGTTGCACGTTATATTTCAAGACGGTGTAATTTTTGATGGAGTGATCGGTAATCCCATAGTGATAGTCATAATGAGCTGTGAGATCATACCACTTAGGATAAGGTGGCTTGAGAGACTCTAATTTACTAAGAGCAATTAGATGACTATTATAAAGCTCATGATATAATTCTATATAAGTCATTGGGATTCGGTCAAGTATAAGTTTTTCACGAGTAATTCGTTGCTTCCGTGAACCACCCATTGGGTTAGCTAGATAAGTTTGAGGTCTTGGGGTAGGCTAAGTGTTAGGACTATATGTGGTATTCTGAGGCCTAAGAGGAGGTTAATATGTTTGGGGATAAGGTGACTGTACAAATTATTGGTATGGGTAAGGGAAAGTATTATTTATAGTAGGGTAATATGGAAGGTATCCTTATAGTGAGTAGGGTTGATAACTCACAAATTGCTATCTATCAAAGCTCACAGCCTGAGCTTTAGTTTCTTTCTTCTTTGGGACTCTTTTGCTAGATGCTTCACTTTTTTCCAACTTGCCATTCTTGATGGCACTCTCGATAATTTCTTTCAAAATTACCATATTAGCAAAATTTTTTGTTGCATTCCCTATCATCTTTTCATAATATAGAGGTTTCAAAGTGCTAACAAATAGCACTGTAATCTTTTTCTCAGTCAGAGGAGGTTGTACCTGAGAAGCTACATCTTTCCATCTTTGGGCGTATTCTTTAAAAGACTCATTTACCTTTTTTTTTAGGTTCTATAAAGACAAACGATCAGGAGCTAAATCTATAATATGTTGATATTGACTGATGAAATCATGAGCCATATTGCTCTAAGAGCGAATGCGGGTTCTGTCCAGCTGAATATATCACCTAGCAGTAGAGCTTGTAAGGCTATCTTGAAAAACATACATCAATAGTTTTACATTATGGGCATGGGCTGCCATATTCGTGCAATACATGGTGATATGAGTTTTAGGACACTTTATGCCATCATATTTCTCAAATTTTGGTACTTTGAACTTTGGTAGAATGACTATATTCGGGACTAAGCACAACCCAGCAGCATCAACAGAACCATAAAATCCAATCTCTTCTATAGCCCGTAACCTTTGTTCCAACATACTAATCTTTGTATCTTCCTGAAACTCTATCGCTTTTGCTTTCTCTTTATTTTTCAAGTCATCTAGATCAGGAATCGGTTCTACTACCTTTTTAATAAAGACAAGATTTACATAGCTATGGTAATGTCCTGAATTTGAGGTTGATGGCATTCCAGGATATGTAGGATATGCAAAGTGTTGTGGTGGAACCTCTTGTGTAGATTGGGCTTGAGGTGGACTAAAACTTGAAGGATACAAAGGGTCAGCCACTTCTTGTAATGGGGGAACTTGTTGGCTTATATTTTCTTCTACTACTTTTCCCTTGTTCAGCTTATTGAGAGCATCTAAAATCTTGTTCAACTCATTTTTAATCTTTTCTTATACTTTTTCTAGCTTTTCAAATCTGTGAAAGTTTTTCTGCTCCATTTGTCTGGCTCTAGCTCTTGTGTTGTATTGATAAACAGGGTTCTCGCTAGATGGAGCTATCATTAAACCTTAAGTACCATATCTTAGAATTAGCAAATTTGCATAACTATCTCATGGTTACTTTGTTAAGTGTAATGAGTGAGAATACAATGAATGAGAATGCATGTATGCAAAGAACATTTGCCTTAAAGATGGTATTTAACTAAAAGATTTCATTTATTCCAAAAAACTTTTATTTACATTGAGTTTATCATCCTAGAATTATAACCATAAAATTGTTTGATCTGTTCATACTGGGCCTTGGCTTCTTCGATGAAGTTTAATAGACGCTGCCCATGTTCTCCTACTAGGGTTACCATTTGTTTCAATGCCTCTGTCTCTTCCACCATCTCTCTTATCTTACATACCCCTTTACAAATTTGGATCGTTAGGTGCTCAATGTATTTCTGTCTTTTTAAGTTCTCTCTTTTACCACACCAGACTTAGTATGATAACTCTCTATGCTCCCTAACCAACGCAGCAATATGATCTTCTTATTCATTCAACTTTTGTCTCAGCCTACTTAGATAATTATTCAACATGTTATTCTCTGTCTATACTTGGGTACTTTTTTCTTCCAATTCAGTATATTCTTGTTTCAGTCTTACATTCTTTTCAGTCAACTCAACAATAATTATCTCTTTGGCCTTTTCTCTCACATATAATCTCTTATGTTCTTGGTGTAGCTCTATTAGGTCTTCAACAGTCGTATCACGTCTTTCTAACAATCTTACAAACTTTAGCTTCATGTCTTTCAGCTCTATTTTTCCACTGGTCTTTTTCTTCTTGAAGCTTCTGGATTTTTTGTTTTAACTTACCTTTTTTAGACTCAAATTTTTTTATCGCAAGCTCTAATTCTGATTATGTTTCTTCAAGCTTTCCTCTTGTTGGTGGTTGAAAGCTTTCATAAGTGAATACCATTTCTTGTTTTCGTTTTGCTTTCCAAACCAAATACCCTAGAGTGACTTTATCAGTAAACGATTTAGGACTCACTCTACGGGGATTTTTCTATGCTTTAATCATCTCATTCATCCTCTGAAATGCTTTTGGCTCACTGTAAAAGAAATCTAACTGATGAAGACCATGCGTCATAGGAATGAACTGTTCTGCACCAAATCGCTTTCTCACTAGGAGTGGTGCATAATTTGTCACTCCCTATAAACCTAAAAGTGGAACCACTGTATTATCTCCACATTGATACAACATAGGCTCATGATTCATCCACGGAGCCAACCATCTTACTTCGGCATTGGTCAATTTTTATAGAAAAGTTATCCATTCCTTTTTAGATTTTCGTCTGAACCACCCACATTCAGTAGTAATTCCTTGATCAGAGTTGATTACGGACATAAGCTTCGAGAAAGCACATTTTCTCCATTCGAAAATGGTTTTTCATCCATAAGTAACAATAATTTGTATGCAAGCCCTATAATGCCCTCCATTTGACTACAGTAACTCAAGATCTGGTAGTCTCTGCTAATATTACCATTGAAGGGATTACAGCCGTTGATCATACTCTAAAAAGAAGTCAATCACCGCTATCTCAATATAACCCAAAACTTTTTTGAAAAATTCTATTTCATATATAGCTAAGGCAATACATCTAACCTCGTTCTTCATTGGCATGTTGCAATGACACTCATGAGAATTTTATGGTAGGCAAACCTGTTCTTGTTTCCTTCTTTGCATAACGAATGCCATAATTCTTTGTCTGCCTTATGAGTTGGCCAAACCCTTCACGAAATCTGAAACTTGGTTTTTTTGACATATATCTTATTGGGAGCGCTTGAGTGCAAACCCAATAAAATCAAATATTCTTCGATAGTTGGTGTCATATCAACTTCATTGAAGATGAAACACTTGTATGCAAGATCCCAAAATTATGCTACAGCTTTGATTAGTTAATCATCGACAACTACTGCTAAAAAGTGTGTTATATATCGGTGTCTCTAGCAAAACTGCTCTTGTCTTGACGGATTCATCTTCTTCCATATATCAACCAAATTCTCTAGATTATTTTGTTTGAAGAGGATAGATATTTTTTGAGACAAGGTAGAATTATATCCGATTAGTAAACAATCCTCCATCTTTGGTTAAATCTTTTCTGACTTGACCTTTACTTCGTTGGGTGACTCATAAGATGCTAATACAGATGAATAACAAACCGGTCGTTCTGTGGAGTCCATGAAAAATTTTTGTTGAAGATCGTCTTTTAAGCAAATGTTCTTTATGCAACTTTATGATATAAGCATGAACCAAGGCAAAAGAATGAGAGAAAAGGTTAATATGCCCAGAAAAAAGAAATAAATAAATAACTAAGTAAATTAAAACATCACACAGAATAAAAGGAATGAATCTTATGCTTTTGGTCAATTCTAAAAGGGAAGAGTGATAGCTCTATCTATAAGTTAGGCACTTTTAAGGTTCACTATATGTGGTTTAAGGTTAAAGTCTAAAGGTTCCTAAATTGCTCCTTACATCATTGTCCATCACAGACTAGTAAGGCACCCTAATTTTCACCCATTACAAGCTACCAAGCGAAAAATGTTCAATTTGAGTGGGAGTATTTCGCCACCACTACGGAGGGCATTAAACCTCACGAAAGCAATAGGTACTTTACTCCCTCCTAGAGGGACGGAGCTCGGGTATAGAGCTCATGTTATACATATGCATATGAATGACATAATTAATAAAGTAAATAAACATGAATGAATAAAAGAAATCTATACAAAAGGTTCAATTTTATTGGGCTTTTGGATAACATAAATTTATTTACTGGCCTGACTCTCAGAGGTCCTCAACGGAGTCACCAAGCTGTCATAATGTCTAGATCCGAGGATCTATTGCTAGACATTGACTTGAAGGAGTTGCCACCAATTTTCTTTTATCTAGGTGCAATTACCACTTAAGGAATCTATCCTTTTAGGGAACACCTAAGTTTAAGGGTCTTTAAAAGAATAGGTTCGGGTCTGTTGACCAGAACAGGGTTTGGAAGTACGGTTACGTGTGAGGAAGGTTATAGCACCCTCACGACGCTCATCGAAAGATGGTACCAGCTTAATTTTGTGTTATCCAATAAGCCTTAAAATTTTATCAAGTAATTAATTATTGAAAATTATTCTCAATTGACTCTAATACTTT